ATGATGTTGCCTTTGATTGTTATCTTCTTTCTCTTTCAGCTTCCAGCCTTAGTGTGCACTTTTGATAATGAAGCTTGCCTTCACTGAAGGAGCACCAGTGTGTGCAAGGATGGAGATGTGATGATTGGGTGTTTCTTGCCTATTTATTTCTACATGGACTATACTGGTGTTCTTGATATGAAGTCTACTGGAGAATCCCATTTCATTCAGTAAGTGTATTCTTCTATTATGTATTTTCTTTCTGGATATCAGGATAGATAACCTCTAGCACCCATGGATCAATAGACCAATATTTTCCATAGTTCCACCTGTTTTACCCATCCACATGGCACAACAGGCTTTCCTGTTTACCTCATTGTTGCATACATTTGCGTGGGGGAGAGGAATACTGTTTTTATTTGTCTGTACCGCTAGCTTTTTCTTCTCACTCTTGGAAACTTAGATGGACTCTACTCATCTGTACTCCATGGTGCATTCCCTTCCTCAGACCTGGACTCCACTGCATGGCATTAGGTGATATTCCTCAACTCGAGTGAACCCCTTGGATTAAGTTGAAAGCTAAGTGGCTATTGCCAAATTACCTGTAATAATATAAACATCTTTCCTTTTCTCTATTTCTCTAACTGTAAGATTCTTAACAGTCTTACAGATAGCCTTCTGATATGTCTACCCCTTCTCCCTGCAGTAACTGTATCATGTTAATGTTCCTTTATTGTTTCTAAGGATCCTTAGGATGCTCCAGGACTGCTGCCTCTGAAAGCAGAGTTCAAAATTAGGGATGCATCAACTGTAAGGCTTTTCTCCACCACTGTGATATTTCCTCAGTTAGATGCATCTCTCCTTTATTCAGATTGTACCTTATCAGGTCTGATGCCAAACATGTAGTTAAATAAAGAGTTTTCCAAATGTTGAAAAATTCTACAAAACTACTTTGTCACTGTAAGAAAGGGACATTCCAGCAGAACTGTGTTTGCTTGAAGCTTAAAGAAGATGGCCACCCATGGTCTCCTTGTGGCATCTGTGCAAAGGAAGGGTTAAAACTAAATATGGACAGATCAGCCTTGGTCCTAACATAGTGCCATTCTCTTTTTTAAAATATTGCACATGAGGAAGCTTGTTGGACATCCTAATAAGAGAAGAAACTCACCGTTAGCCAGTGTAGCTCTCAATGGTTTCTCTTATCTGTCTAGAAAATGTAGGTGTTTGTTCCCACAAGGACCTGACCAGTTCTTAGGGGCTACAGCCTCTGGGCTTGTGGCCATGCAGAAAGGTGGGACATGGTCCTTTTGCCTCAACTTGCATTTAATGGGGCCCACCTGGGGGGAAGGATTGGGGATCTCATTGATAGAGAGAACACTGTGCCCGGCCCTTCCTAATCAGCAGCCTGAAAAACTATATGAAGTGGCTACTCAGTTCTTGAATTGGAATTTCAGGGTGGAAGCTCTTTTGACCTGATGATGTAACTTTTATTGTGCTTTGTTTTTTCTGTGTAATCATGTATGTGTTAGTTAATAATATGTATAAATACTGCTTTACACTTTATTTAAAGGCTTGTTGTGAAGCCAAGTCCTTGCCTTACCCAGCTGTAACTGGTCTCTTTAAGGATTCAATGTATTTGAGACTACGGACAGAAGAGTAAGGAAACTGGGCTTTTTTTTTTTCTACAAATAGGGTCTCTACCTGTCTCATGCTCCTGAAAATGCCCAGATATTTGCTTATATTTTGACTCCAACATACATTCTTGATGCTCACATAACTTTTGGGAAAGGGACATACTGTGATGACTAAGCTATGAGCAATCTCCTGACCTCGATTTTTCTCTGCTTTAGCTTTTTGAGAAGGTGGCATGACAGGCACTAGTCATTAAACCCTGAGTGTGCATGTTCCTTCTACCGTTTGATAAAATATGTGTTGTTACCGATGTGGTTAATATGCAAATTTGACTGTTTTTTTTTTTGTTACTGTTTATTTTGGTGACAATTCAGAAGTATTTTTGAGTGTTTGATTCAGAGGATTCTGCTCCAAAGTTAAACCCTGTGAGGGGATTAATTCCTCCTGTCACTTATTGAAAATTATGAGAATGATTTTGTTTGATCAGAACAGAAACCTCAGTGTAGAAAGCACTGAAATATGGTTTGCATGAAGAGCGGGATTCTGAATGGTGGATGGGCCAGTGTGCATTTAGAGCTCATCAGGAGCGTGGAGGGGGATCATGATGGAGTCTGGCTAATCCTGCCTGAGTGGATCCTAGCTAAAGACAGCCCAGTGTGATCAGAAGGCATCTCAATATAATGGGGATGAGAAACTGACCAAGCATCAGTCATTATGAGATTTCAGGAATAGTTCAAGGATGTAAGATCTGTTTCTGTTCCTAGGAGGAGAGAATGAGGTACCTACTGTTCTCTTGTCCTCTGCTGTTCCCACATACGCTCAGAGATCAGGCTGTTGCAGGGGCGCTGCTCTAGGCAGCTGCTTTGTGAGTTCTGTCTGTGGCAGAAGAGAACACATACACTTCTCAGTTTCTTTGCCTGGACTGATGTTCCCACCAGCAACAACAATTTAGGGCCTCGGGAGAGAATTTCGCTTCCTGCTAAAAAAGAAAAAAATGAAAGAACTGTAAGAAAATAAAAATGTTTATGCATAAGCAATTCACATATTTTGCATCATCCTTACAAGGAAAGTCTAATTTTAATACTTTAAAGGATCACATTGCTCAGATATAAAATTCTAGCAAGCATAATATTTGTACTGTAGTCTTGATAACACCGTGGATTTTCTGCAGATAAATATAAACACAAAGTTGAATTATTCTCTTTTTGCTTTTTTCAGCATATTTTCCTTACATATTGCTATATATTTATGACAATTATATGTCTATGCAATTCCAATCTTTTCAACCTATTATTATTCATTTCTTACCAATTTTAGGATGTTACAAAATTTCTAATTAATTCTTGTTGTCATTTAAGGAGGAAAATAGATGGTTAATTGTAAGATGCTGATATCAAGTCCCAGAACAAAAACAAACTGAAAGGGAATGTTGAAGCATAAAATGTTTGTGCGCAAAACTATAATTATTTATTTTTGGTCTGGGATGTAGCTCAACAGCGCAGCTTCTTCTCAGAAAGTGTGAGTCCTCCCATTCTCGGGGCCAAATTAATCATACTGTAAATGCATGGACATCAATATTTTCTATCCCTCAACATTTCAAACATCTTTTTAAGCTAGAAAGCCCTTCATAAGACAGAAAACTGATGTACGGTAAACCATCAAATAGAATATTCTCAAGGTAATGCATACATTATGATCAATCCAAATGTTAATAAATGATATGCCTACATATCAACGCAATGCCACTTGCTTAATTTCAACTTAGGTCAATTGTTCAATATAAACCTTAAGGAAATAATACTTCCCTGAGAGCATGCTTTAAAAGTCTTATTTTCTTTCAGTATGTGAGATATATATATATATATA